CAGAAATTAAACCTAAAATTCTTTGTTCGCTGCAAGAACAAAATAATAAAGATGAACTTTTGAATGATACGAAGAAGAAGAGAAAAAAGATAATATTGAGACATTGGACTCTAATTTTACTATCGAAACGAGGCGCAGTGACTCACCAATTGAATCATGTGTTATAAGTCAAGAGGACAAAATTAACATGGTTATAATTGAAAAGGTTTTCCTTGAACAAAAACATAAATGATTTAATGACAAGGAGCAGGTATAATTTAAATAATTTTCGTTTATAACACATTTCCAAACATATTATATATTTTCAGAATGAACGAAAAAAAGTGGAAATGCCATTTACGAAAACACCAAAAGAAAGGCCAGTCATTTTACCTGGTGGGATAAAATGGAAAAATGAAAAGGATGCATGTAATGAAGTTTTCATTGCAGAAGTTTTAAGATCACAAGCTGAGTTGATTAATGGGAATACTTTGGGGTTGGTTTTTATTAAATCGATTAGTTAAAAAAATGTGAATCACCATCTCCATCTTATTTAAAACATTTTGTAGGATATATGAGAGCCCATATTTACCTTATGATAATAGGTAATTCATCTGATCGTAATTCATTTTATCGTACTTCATCTGTACGTAGAGACTTACAATGTTTGAATATAAAAAAATACATCTTTTTTCTTTCATCTTTCAGAGGTAATTTTCTTAAGTATAAGAAACCAGAGAAAGATCTATCAAATTTAAATCGAAGCGAAGTTTTGAAATTGATAAATAACACTGATTATGCATCTACAAAAATTTCTGAACGAGCAGCGAAGACGCTTACTTCTAATGACGTTTTGGAAGCAGTTTTTATCAACTAATTACTTTATTTCACGGTCAATTAATGTCGCTAATGTCGTATTTAAAATGAATGCACATTAATGTGGCCAAAATTAGAATCTTTCATTAAAATCTAAAATTAATTTTGAGCGTGGGTTGATTGTAGATATAAGTAATCAATTGTTAAATCGATTTATTTAATCAGTTAACTGCAAAGAGAGTAAGAAAATGTTGATTCAATTTTGAGTGGTGATAAAAAATATATTGCTATAGGAAAAATGAATGGAAGTTGTGTTTCGCATCTAACATATTTCGTTCGATCCATATCATCACGAAAATCATTTATTTCAATATAATAACATTTCAATTCAGGTCAAAATGACATTGAAACATGTGTCCAAGTTCCTTTACCGAAGCAGGTTTGTTTAAGAAAGATAGAAGTGTTTGAATAAATAACTTGAACGAATGTTTTTTTTTCTACCAAAAATAGTAATATAGATGAAAAATATTTCGAAAGATATTTAAAACGAGAAATACCATTTGATAATTGTGCTTTTGAGCTCAGGATAAGTGGAAGTAGTGATGATGACCAAAGACTCATGTCTTTCGTTGATATATTGTGGGGATTCGAAGTGACCGGAGGATCTGATCAATTTGAAGCACTCACAGTGATTGATGTAAGAGATTGCGAGTGCAAATATATATAAATTGTTAGAAAAACAATAGCATTATTTTATTCAAGGTTCGAAGGAGTGGGTATGCGTTTCGAGCGGGAATTAGAAAAAATGACATAATTTTTCGTATTAACAATGTTTTTACGGATGGTATTAATAACGATATATAAAATAATATATTATGATGATAAATAAAATGAATATTTTATTGTGGTTTTCAGATATGACACTGTTGGAGGCTCAAAAAATGATTAAAAAGTCGGGTAAACATTTGCGCATCTTTGTAAAAGGGTAAAAAAGTGGATAATGTAAGTAAAGTAAATCTTAAATTGAACAATGACATGAAAATATTTTTCAGAAATGATCAAATTGAAGAAAATGATGAGTTTACTGTGGACTTTTGGTTTAAACGTAATTTAAAATGTTTTTCAAATATCTGTGAAAGTGTTTAAATTTAGGGGTTTTTTTTTTTAGCAAAAAAACGATTTCCACCAGTATATATCGTAAGTACTGAGTTTATATAGTGAGGGAAAAAATAAAAAAATTAATTTAATTAAATACTATAATTGAAATTATTTCATGTGTTTTCCCATTTTTTGAAGATCAACAAATGGCCTGATTCTTTCAATTGGAACGATAGAAAAAAACCTATATACAAGTTCGTAAAGTTATTCGAGCACAAATGTTGAATTTAACAATAGTAATTGATGTTTTTTACAACAGAGAGAGTAACTGCTTTTTAGTCCCAAGTAAAACGGAAGATCACAAAGATAAGAAAAAGATTATTCATCGAACTACAGACGAGGACAATCAAACGTATGCAGCAAAATAATTTCTTCACATAAAATATTTTAATACAAAATAACACCCATATAATAAAATTTATATTGATTTCAAGCCTACACGTTTATGCATTTATTTTCTATTTTCTGTTGGAATTTCGGTTAATTTTTTTATTAAAACGTTGGGGACTTGGGTTGACAGTTGTCTTGTCACATTCCACTTTTTCCAACGCTCCTAATAAAATCTATTAAAATCAGTTTAAAAATAGAAAAACAAAAAAGATAGCAATTTAATTGAATAACAACAAGAGACACAACAGAATACAGAGAAGTTTAATCGGAAAAATAATACAAAAACTTAGCGAGAAAAATTTCAATTTGTGTTGTTGCTGCAATTGTATGCAAATCAAAATGCCAATTCATTCTTGTGTAGACAACAAATGTACCGGAATGTATTATAGGGGTTTGTTTGTTTTGTGCACGTTTTGTGAAAAAAAATATTCGTCGAATGCATTAGGAATAGAACGGAAAAATAAAGGATTTCAAAGACAAAGAAAACCAATGGAAATTATATGAAACAATCGATGTGCAAAGTGCAAATACCAAACTAGATGACTTTTTTGGGAGAAATTCCCGATTCGGGTTATCTTGTGAAAAATACAAGCACAAATTGAAAACCAGTGATAACGAAGATGATTTTCATGATGTGATAGAACCGATAAATTATGACACTATTGATAAAATGATTGCAAAGAAAATTGATGAAGTGAAAAACAACAAAAACAAAGACAATCAAAACAAAGACAATGGAATAAACATTGGTGCATCTACATCAACATCGACAAAATCTGGCAAAAAAGTTTATTCTTATATATATACGAACTTATCAACAAATTTGGCACCAACAGCAACACCATCTGCAACAGCCACAACAACAATTCGTCCAAAATCATCATGGATCCAATCAAATTCACTTGTCAAACTGTATGTGCTATAGCTGTTTTTTAGGATTTCAGAAAAGACAGTCATTTCAACCGCCATTAATTCAAACCATTCCATTTGCATCACAAAACATGCCATTTCCAAACGGACAAATCAACCATCATGATGAATAACTTTTTCGAAAAATATCAATGGAATACGTTCAAGATTGCCGGAATTTATCGCTGAAATTTTGGCCTTGGAATATGGTATTTATATGTTGTGTGAATTAAGATAAAATCCATACATTAATTCAACAGATGTGTTCCCGCCATTCTTCAATGTTTATCGATGTGACAGATCAATGAATACTGAAGCAAAGCAAATTGTTAAAAGACAACAGGGTGGCGGTGTGTTAATTGCTGTGTTAAATCTGTCTCTGGTCCAGATGGAATTCCAAATATATTCATTAAGAGTTGTTTACCATCACTATTATATCCAATAACAATTTTGCTGAGAGAGTCACTTCAATAAAATTGTATACCGCAGATATGGAAAACATCATTCGTGCGACCAGTTTATAAAAGTGGTAACAGAAACAAAGTCGAAAATTATCGTGGAGTCGCTTCGCAATGCATAATTTCAAAATTACTCGATTCAGTTGTATAAAGTCACATTAACAACTATTTGAACGGTCTAGAATAAAAACAACTTATTGTTTACTCGCATATCGA